CTGTACTCAATCAGTAAGTTTTTTAGTTTGTCGAAGGAATTTGTAAATCATAATTATATAACGTAAAATCTTAGCAAATGGTAATTTTAGAGCCAGTAAATTTTCAGTAGAGATAGGTGAAATCGAAAATATTTAGCAAAGTAATTCATCTTAATTACATAGTCCTATATTAAAAAATCTAATGTTAAATTAACTGAATGATATAAGATTTATTTATTTTATTTATTTATTTTAACACAGATAGTGGTACAAGCAGGCACCAAATACATATGCGCCACACAAATCTCATTTGATATGTATGAGGGCTGTGATACTACCTGGGTGCCCAAACCGAAGCAGGTGGTTTTCCTAGGGGGCCACACCCGCAGCCTTCGACCGGAAGGTCTGATCCACAAGGCAGTGGAGCATCATAAGGAGATGCAGTCTCATGGTAGCCGGTGACCAACGATTTGTTTATACGCCATTTGTTCATTCAGGATACTGGAGCCCATGGGCACCATTGCTTTGGAATCAGGGTTTTCCAACTTCCCTAGGTGGACTCTCCATGTCCGCCAACCCAGTTAAAGCGACGGACATTCTTTTTTCGTCCTCTGAATTTCGTAAACAACACCCTTGTCACGAGAAGGCAATGAGTAGGACTTCCCTGACAGAGGCTATATACGCGTGGCCATATGAGAGCATTTCGAGAGGGAGAGTGGCCTCTCCCCACTCTCGGCCGTACCAGGGCATTTGGGGGCAAATGATATAGGAAATATGACTCATACAGATTATTTTGTGTGAAGTTCATTATTAAGTTGTTTAGGTTGTTTAACTAAAGCTTTTCGGTTTATCTGACGTGACAATTCGATTATTCGTTAATTCTAAATGAAAAGTTATAATCATGAAAGAAAAGACTAAGTCGATTGTTGAATGACCAATGTTTTCGAATTGTTAATTAATTTTCTACGATAATGCTAACTGATAATATTAAGTAGTATACAAAAATAACTGGATTTAAGAGAAAAAGCCTTAAAAAAGTTTAACCATTGGTCCCTGATCAGATGTTCTGTTACGTTTACTTTATTAAAAATGTGACATCTTTGACAGTTGTAACATTTAACTGTATATTAAATGTTTCAATCGAAATGGGAAGCAAACATTCAAACAGGTGATTAGGTAGAAAGTTGGCCAATATTTAAAATAGAATTAAATATTCAATATATTTATTGATACATGGTTATATACATCGAGAAGAAAAAAATCTTAGACACAATAATCAGTGACTGAAATAAGGTCGATATTAAATTTGCAATTAAATCTGTTAGCTAGACTTAAGTGAAAAAGTTCCAACTATGACTCAATATATTGTGTTCCATTGTGACCCAGATATTTTTCCACTTTTAGTCTTCACTGAATATATCATTATTTACAGTAAGATTTATTGGTCACTTAAAGAAAAATCTAACAAGTGGAACTCTAAAATAACTTATAATAGACGAACTCAATGTAATTGCTGAGTTAATAATGATTTTTTTGTAGAAAAAGTCACAGATTTTAGTACATATCAAAAATATTTGGTTTATTCACACTATAAAACTTATCAAAAATTACTGTTGGCCTCATTTCATACAACTAAGTGCTTTTAATAAAATACACATGATATATTAGACTAAAATTCTATTGACACTGAGTACATTAACACTTATTAAAGTTCAGTATTTTAAGCAAAATATGTGATAACTAATATAAAAGTTCTACTGCCGTGTTTATTAAAATTCAGTTTAATTTGATGGAATATTATAAAGTATTTAATATGATGATGCGATTGTAGGTAAGTATTATATATTAGGTAATTTCAATCTGTAATTACCTTATTTTACAATCAAGTGAAGAATTTAGCTATGTACTGCAATATCTCTTCCTAATTAATTAAGTCGATAAAACCTGTTCATTATAATTGTATATTTCATAAGTTATTATTAGAATGGGGGTTTTCGGAGATTGTAATGCTTTTAATAATTGAATTCATGAGTTGATGTAACTTAGACCACCGTTGTAAACTTGGAATCACTGGACGGCCGTTTCATCCTAGTACGAGATTTCTCAGCAGTGCGCATCCATGATCCCGAATTCGGGAATCGAACCCAGGACTTTCTGTTTAGCGCGTGAACGCTCAAATTCTAGACCACTGAGCCTGCATTCAATGGTGTTAATGTCTAAATTCAATCGATTAATGATCTTCCGAAACCATTAATCCATTATCAGAGGTAGATACCTGTTTCTACCCGACACAGATTGGACTCCATTGGTCAGTGCTTCTCACTAGAACCCCAGGAAATCCATCTCGAAACTAGTCACTATTGAGTAGATAATTATTATTAGTATGGGGATTCGTGGGGACTATTTCATAAGTCTCATGCAGATTATAACAACGTTTGATAACTATTATATATATCAACTGAAATGTTATTGATGCTACTCAGTATAAAGAGTGGCATAACAATAGCAATATTACAAAAATGCTTTAAAAGTCCGAAACATAACTTACCATCATAGGTTCTAGTCCTTAATGGTCAAGATCAATCTGTGTGCTATTTCATAGTAAAATAGTGTTGTACGTATACCAAGGATAAAAAAACTCCGACTAATTCTAATCATTCCGAGATCAGTACCACGGTGCAACCTTTGCACAAAGCTGAGTACTAAACTCCATGCATAGTTCCAGAACAAGTGAGCTAGAGACACCACTAATATACACAATGAGGAAGTAACCATCTGGAGACTGCAAACTAAACAAACAGATAAATTTGCGATATATGGGGGTTTTAGGTAAATATTAAAGACTACAGTTAAATGCGTCAAGATGATTAACACTTTAAAAAATTGTGAATCACGTAGACGTGGCATCAAAAAGAAGTATTGATTAACTATCAAACTTCTAAATTATATTGTAACCTGAGTTGGGCAAGCTGAGCATTCAGACTGAAATATACAGCTGTCTTAAGAATTCTTATTCGCATAATCTAAAAAACAGTGGACCGTCAATTGCATATTCATGTTACTCGTTAACAATAGATGATGTTTGTTCCCCGAATGTTGATGGGGATATACAACATAAGCGTGTATTCATGTTTATATGTTAAAGGATGAATTTCTGCATTTATCAATCTTATCTCGTTCAAGTATTGAGGAAATACTGGGTAATTAGGGTATCCTGCAGGTTTTATGATAGGAAAATGAATCGACACTTTTACCAATATTGAGTATATTACTTTATATGTAAGTGTTGTTGTAGATATCGTTTCTAGTTGGAAAGTACGCCACCAAAATAAATCAGACTGCTGAAGACATTTGCTTACGGCTATATGACAGACGGTAATTTAAGGTGATCTTAATGAAACGCCCCTTTCAGTGTTATATGACCTTTTCTAATTTATTTAAGATTAGCATGATTGGTAGTCCTCCCGAATTCCTTAACATATGTGTTTTACTTAGATATCAAATTAATGAAACGGAAATATTGATCATAATAATAATATAATTGAGCAGGCTACTATCTTGTTCTAAAGTACGAATTTCGCTCGAATAATTTTCATTCACTTACAGATATATTTGTGAGTGCCTTGTAGTCTTTCTTTATATGAACATTTACAGTGGAACATTCTCAAAAATAATTATGCTCACATACACCATGAGTACTTTCAGTCATTAAAATAAATATTACCATGGATTATGATTAGCACAAAAGTATCCAATATGCTTATTTATGTTAATTTCACAGAGTCAAGTGACTTTATCAATATTAGTTGTTTTATTGAATCCGTTAACACTGTGAAATTTATTAATTTATCTTATCTTACTGTGGTATTTGAACTAATTGGTAATTCCTCTGTACTTGAGTGCGCGCTTTTCACGAATCCCAAATATAATATGTTAAGTTCTGCTTCTTTATTTCTGCCTGCCTAAAATTGCACTAGTTCGTGAATTCTTAGAAAATCAGTTTGAATACTTGTAATTATCACGTTATTATACAAACTACTAATTATGATATTGGCGAGTATAAACATGGGACCAACCGGTGAAACATTGCTAGCAAACTCAGTGGAATTTTTATCGTATTCAAGCATATTAATTGAAAGACTGGGGCTACTATTTTCAAGCCTGCAGAATACATTTTGTAAGGTAGAACCTAAGAATGAGAAAACATCCGAAGTAATAAATATGAGTAAATACACAAAAAGTATTAGCCCTGACTTAGAATACATCGCACACTTTATATTATTTAGACACTGCTGCAAATATTGAGCAACTGTGAGCTGAACTAATTTACTGCAAGGATTTATAGAGTCTGTACATTTCGTTGAATACACTGAACACAACAGACTCCCACTTACATTCCTTGATAAGCATCTACTTATGTTCGTTATACTGGCGAACTACTTTCAGGTTCACAAAAATAAGTGCCTTTTCCCACAATGTATATGAACAACATCTACATAATCTATTCTGCTAGATTATTAGTTCATATTTAATGCTATAACACTTGATAGTTTCTATTTAGTCAGATATATAGCTGTTATGAGGTCATATATAGAGTGCATTTGTTCCTTACTTAGCTACTATTTCTGGAGGTAAGATTACAATTGCGACTACAGAATTAATTTGGCTCTCACACCAAAAGGAAACCTGATTTAGTAAAAAATAATGTCAGAAACAAACTGGTTGATCTTTGAAGTTTTAATAATCCTGGGAAACTTTATACTGACTATTTATTTTTTACTACACGGTCTAATAAGTCTATCTGATAGTCCTTTTCTCGAAAGATTAACATACGCCAAAAGTCTATGGAAAATATGACTTTGTAGAAAGATAATGTATTTTTTTAAATATACATATTCAGTAAAAAATTAATAGCTGATGACATGAAGAAGCTTATGCGACGTACAGTTACAATGAGAGAGAAGGCGGGAATATTTTACAAATTTATTTATATCATATAAAATAAATAAGTTTTTTACGAATCATTCTTGTTGAACAAATGGATTAGGTATAGATTCCATTCCATCTGCAGGACAAACAAGTTCCACGGATGGACCCCTGTAAGAGACGAAAAAAATTAGAAGAGATTGTGATTATTAATTATAATAACTCTTTATGTAATTATATAGGAAGAAGGGCATGGTTCATTCAAAAGTTTAGGCTTTAAAATAACTTCCAATGTTACATGAATTTTATTCGGTATAAAACCATTTCAATAAGAATAATAGAAGTTTAGAAAAACTGCTGCTTGGAAACTGATTCGAAAAAGATAATAAAATGACTAAAAATAAACACTTCAGTTGGTTAGTATAAAAATTATCCTTTTGAATCAATATGAAAATCAAAATAACTTTCCAGTCGGTATTATCTTTGTAAATTCACGAAAATTTTCGAACGCAATAGCTTTTCTTATATATATATAGTTAAATGCACTATGTATCAGATACCTTGATGACGTACGCCAGTACTCTTTAATTTTATTAATATACCTTGGAATCAGTACATGTAAAATAACTCTTTGCGTGTCAGTCAGTAACAACGTAGAACTTCGTACGTACGTACATCAGTTCGAGTTGCCACACCACATTAGCACAGAGATGTAGTTGTCGATTCAAATCCCGTAGTGGTAGAGGTAATAAGAGTATAAGCAGTAATCGGGAAGATTAGGGTTTGGAGATGTTATTTAAAGAGTATAATCTTTGCGTGTCAGCTTAGCCGAAAAAGTGATCAGTTTTAAGTGAGGAATTTTATGTATATGCATTCCATCACAGAGTAGTACTGCAGAGGAATAAGTTTTTCAAAAGTTATATAACAGTAATGAGCTGAATTATTAAAGAGCAAGTAGTTTCATGAACATCGAAATACGGATTAGAACTTCAGGACTCCTTACTTTTTGACCACAGTTTAGCTAATTACTAAACGAACACAAATAAACACTGTAAACGCTTATTACTCAACAAGAGATCATTTTCATATGATACAAGGCATTGTAGCATTAATTTCCTAATTATAAATAATATTGATTCAGCTTTCTTTGGTTAGCTTTTGATGTGAAGTTTAATAAGATAGTTGTAGCATATAATTTTACATGAGATATCCACGTATAAATCAAGTGAATTCAGGACAGCTTTCGAGAGATTGTTGTTAGCATAAGAAAGGCTATCTAGTTATTGTAATGAACGTAACTAACTAGTTTTCAAGAGAATATTATTTGAAATTCTTGTGACAAGACATGAATATAACTTTCCTTTCGACTGCTTCATTTTTCAAAACTGTTGATTCAAGTTAAATAATTAATATAGGACAGTAGGTTTGAAGATGGATTTGTGAACCTGAAAAAAAGGCAATCATTTGATGTTCTCTGAACTTTAACAAGTTACCGTAGTTTTTTCAAGAGTTTTGATGTTACACAACGTAAGTCAGTATTGATGTATTTAGTACACTTAAATATTAAGAATTTATGATCAAACACTAAAGTTTAGCAACAACTAAACAGTAGCAGAAATTCTTATTTCCGAGAAAAATATTACGTAATCAAAGAATAGAGTCTTTAAATACTAAGTAAGAATAACAGATGACGATTAATAGTTTGGAGCAATTTCTTATAGAACTAAACACTAAAACTAACCTACAAACCACAAGGGCAAGTTCTCTTGTATCTTCAGTCAAACGATGAGGATCATCTGGATCACGAAGAAATTCAGTAGTACAATCAATCACCATATTCTGTAAATTATCGCATCCTTTCAAGATACCAACAGCTTCCCGTCCACCTGAAAATTTGACACGGATTCTTTTATCTATATACTTGTTTAAATCAATTATAGACTCTTTCTTATGCTTTTCCGGTTGTTTATCTCCAGTAGGCATTCTCGCTAGAAATGTGTAGAAAAGATTAATTAGAACAATAACAAAGTTTATCACTAACATATATGAATTATCAACGATTTTAGGAAAGATGATCATTTTCAAGTTTTTGTTATTGTTAAAAGAAATGAATAGTTGTTGTTTTAAATATGCTTCCATCTTGAAGGCAGAATGGTTGCTGGAAAGCTGTTACTTGAAAAACGTCAGATTTGAGTTATTTTCTTGCAGTAGGAGCTACTTAACGTGAATATATATATATATATATATATATATATATATATATATATATATATATATATATATAAGCAAAAATGGATAAGGCAATATCAAAGCAATACACACAGTATGCACATATACCAATAAGAGACTGATCAACTGCAGTCCTAATCATCAATGGGAAGATTCAAGTAAACAATACCAAGTGAATTAAAACTTCATCCCATTGCGCAAGCAAGTGCCTATCAGGATTCAGTAGCTAAGTGGATAACGCGATGGCGTTTTAAGCAAACGGTACTGGGTTCAAGTCCCAGAGTGCAAATCAATCCTGAGATGCAGATACATCCAGCTGACGAGTCCAAAATAGGATGAAAAGTGCATCCCGGATTCTACTGCTAGCCACTATTCATCTTTGCTTATGAATTCACGATAATTCAAAACGTCGTCAAATACTTAAAAATTTAGCATAAATTTAAAATAATAAATAATCAAAGTGGATTGGAGTGGTGATTCATTTCAAATCAAGATATAAATAATATAAAGCAGTACACATAAAAATATTTTCTCATCTTATTCTTGTTACTTATTTGTGGATCAGTAACAAGTAATAATTAAAATTTTTATCCGAAAGTAAGCCAACATATAGACTATTTAAGATGGTTTCCTATTCAAAGAGCATTTCTTTTTAAAAAAAACAATAATATTCAGTGCATCTAAACAACTTCTATTTATCTAGTATTATTTGAACGTGAAAATGTATACAATTTTGAAAACTAAATATTGGCTGAGAATTAGAATAACTAAGTGAAAAATTAGCATTTATTCGGTTCATGTTGAAAATTCTTGAGAAAAGGAAAATATAAAATTTTAGTTAATATTTAACGAGTTATATTTTATTTATTAGATGGTTACTTAAGATTGAATCAAATATCCTTAATATTGAGCTATCTTTTAATACATCAATTGATGATATAACTTTAATCGCTGAAAATTTATTACTAATTAACTGAGTGTTAGTAAGGCTAGTAAGGCATGTATTATGATATACGAATTGTAGTACATTGTGGTATTTTACTTGTATAGTCGAGTTACGAATTTTTATAATAAAGGTATTAGTGACTAATCATAAAACCTAAAGGATTAAAACGAAAATGGTAACAAAATTTTAAAGTTTTGTTATCTATAATTATATTAAACGTTATTTAAGTTAAGTGTTAATATTTTCTATCATACACAAGAATCATCAGACATGGTTGGGATTTTGTGATCCTCCTACGAGTTGATGAGATTGTACTTCATGTTTTTGTATTCAATCAAAGACTGTGCTTGGGTTATTTGGAACATATTTTTCGGATAGTGATAAAAACTAGTCATCGTTCAAATCTGGATTATTCTTATATCATTTTCAGATTAAGAATAATTCGAAAATTGGTTGCGCATATAAATATTCGTAATCAATTGTACACATGAGATCGATTTATCATCACTATTGAAGATTATTTCCGGTGACTATAGAAGTGAGTCATATAACAAAGCACAAAAGTGTACAACTATATCAGTCAAATTCACAGTTCTACCAAATTTTATCACGAAGATAAGTGTCACGAGTCATTGATTGCAAATAATCGTTAAATTCGAATTCGTGGATATTTTGTGGCTGTAACCTATTTAGTTAGCGGCAAAATGTAACTGATAAACTACGTCAAGTTCTATACCGAACAAACCATATCTCAAGGTCATGTGATAAGTTAGATGAAAACAATAAATGGATTACCAATATAGCGAAGGTTACCACCGACGCGTTGATTTGTTAACTCATAAATAAACATGAATTGTTGTAGGCAACGAGCCCGATATTTAATAAAACAAATTCCTAGTTTTTTAGTCTATTTATTAGGCTGATTACGAGTTTCTATGATAAGTGAACTGGACTGTAAAGCTGAAGTGATTAGGTTAAAATAGATAGAGGTTATGCATTTCGATGGGTAACTATCATAATCACTTAATTATTATTATTCAACGAACGCTAATTGCACTACTTTTGAATCCAGGGAAAATCTCTCAAGCATTCATTTACCATAGTTACTTATTTACCATTTGATTGGTTACCCATTTTCATATTCTATTTCGCTTGACAAACAAAATCCGATGGGAGAGTATTCTAAATTGAAATGTGTGCTGGCTTTTAAGTGACTCAGATGATTAGTTTCCGAATATTTTTCAGTCAACATGACTGAAGTGTGCTTCAGTTTATATGTAAGAACCATGTACTTTACCTTACAGTCAATAATCATAAGAGTAGTACAAACGTTTAAGATAAGCGACCGAATTACGGTTTTTATCTGGTTTGCACAGGACATTATAGAATTAACAACTGCTAAGTAGAAGAATAGATATGATTGGTCCACATTTCTTATTTTATTATCTCGCCCTAAAAAAATAACACCTACTATTCTGAGGTGCTTGTTCTTCAAGATTATTCTGGATTTCTTGTACTCAGTCATACTGTTAACTATCACATATATAAGTACAGTGAACGACTTTTACTAGGGTACACGCTAATTTCATAACAATTCGTAGAATTATTTTATACATTAGTCGAATTTGAGTGGCTTGTTCAAATGTGAATAAAACTTACATTATCAAAAAAGACTAAATATGATTCTTTTCTCTCAAGAAAAAAACAGTTGTATACTTTTAGATGCTAAAACAGTCATAATCAATGTAGAGACTATCACAAATGTGTGTTGGTTTAAGTTGCCATACCAGTTTAGCATGATGGGATTAAACTAACAGAAGTTGAAACATTGACTACCTATTTTAAAAATGAAAGTAACAGCACAATAATGAAGAAAACAATCAGTAGTATGAATATCAGACATTCATACCTAGGGAGGTACAAAAAAGAAGTGCATTTTGCTCAATATTATCTTTTTTATTAGAAGTAAATTAATACATAAATTAATTACGAATACTATACATAAATCGTAAGTCTATATAATTAATTATAAATATAATGAAACCTATTATAACCATTATCACGTATGTAATAAAAAATTACAAATAGTGTTTAAATTAGGAAATATGGAAGGGGAGAGAAGGGAAAATATCTGGTAAGAAAGAACATGACAAAAACAAACGAACATTGAAAAGATTAATGTAAAGCCGAATTAAAGAGAATGTTTACTGGAAGACTATGTGTAAGTAAATAAATACCATAGTAATGAAATTTTACAAACTAGACCAGACAATTGCTTTCTTAATACGTTCACATGAAACTAGAGAATTACCATTCGGATTCCAATGACAACAAACGACAATATTTCTGAAATAAAACAAACGAAATAAAACATCTGTGTTTAAAGTGAGTGACATGACGGAATAGTAGATTTACAGACTCGCGTGCGAAATGTAAATTTAAAATATATTTAATACGTATTATGAATGTGAAGAAATTTAAGTATACATGAATAATCAACGAGGTCTCATAATTGAAACATATGAGCATTCCAGTTAAGTATGAAGCATAGCTAGTCTCAACATCACCTCAAATCCCACTGTATTGAGAGGCTTAAGATAACGCATCCGAAAAAGTGACATTACACAAGTAGGGTTTACTTCCTTTACATCAGTAGTGCAGACACTCCTTATAGTAACGAAAGACAGTTGATGGGTTGGGCTTCCAGAAAAAGATGCATTGAAAGCACAACCATATCAAGATTTAACTTAAGTAGATTGTAGATAACTGGAAACAATACGACAATTTTAAATGATGGAAGAGTAGTTCAGTTTTTTTTTCTATATCTGGTATACATACTGCTAAGAGGGTCCTATGCTACTCAGTTTTGTGAACAAGTGTTGGTGCTTCCTTGTAGAGATAACAACAAGTACAATTTAGTTCATATTTTCGCATAACCTTTGCTCTTTCAATACTGATTGTTACAACCTACAGTTTGCTAATCTCCTGTCTCAATGTCATGTTTTTTTATCATATATAAAAAGCTGTTCCATTTGATTTTTTCTTTGTTAAATACCAACCTGTTTCGCAGTGCTGTGTTCTTTTGAGTTTTAATGCTGAGGAATTTGTAATATACTCCTGGTATGCACGCTTTTCACGTAGAAATAAGCTTAACGCAATAGCCATACTTGAGATGACAAACGTTTAAGTGTACTTCTTCAGACAGTTGCTATCATATTATATACACATATGCCGGTATTTCATATACATTAAATTTATAGAAACAGTAAATTTGCAATATTAGATGACACAGTAGATATAACCAATAGCTTGACTATGAGATTAAAATCGTTTCATATCTTTCTACGTACTAATTCTTACTTCCTGTACTATATCCTTATATGCAATCTTTCTTTTATACATTATCACCATTGACTTAACTACCTCTATGAATCCGGTGTTTATCTTGCTGTGGTAATGCGGTATAGCAGCTTGAACCGATGCATCTATGTGCCTGGTCCTACGTTGTAGCTGACTGACTGAATTTATTGAAAGTGTGGCTTAAAGCCTGATATATACACATACATGCACTTGATAAATGAACTATAAAATTAAAAGCGTACGTCCTCATGAGAAGTGATTTTCAAAAAACACAAACTCAATATTCTTTGTATATGATTCCACAGCACCAATACGATTTGAATTGTCATTACCATCAGTTTAGCTTTCATGGTTTTACAAGTATGATGATTACAAGTAAAGAAAGTACCTTAAACATTTCAAGTAGATATTTCTAAAAAAACAGATGTCAAACAAAATTCACTCTGAGCACTTAGTCCTCGTATTTAGTCTTTAGTCACCACAAACAGTAATCGTTACAATTATCTATTATATTTTATAACATAATTTAAACATTTATTATTGTATTTTTATTCAAACTTCAAACTAGAATTTCAAAAAAACAAACCCTTAGTATCCTCACGAAAATACTCAAAGATGAGTCGTGAATTGTATTTATTTATAGTAATATGAACTAATGATATATTGCTTTGTAAACAACATATTGATTAAAACCTGACAGTTAAATAAGAATGAATTTGTTTAATATCGAGCTATCCAAGAACAAAATATGAATAAGTGATAATTCTGTACCTTGAGGGAAAAGAAAATGAAGGCTTCAATGAAGTCTATCGATTGTATCAGATAATGGAATAATACTTGTTTTCCTACCTACTTGATTTTTTATCCTTACCGTTAGTAAAGAGGTTTGAGTGTGTAGTTTATATCAAATAAACAGGCTTCAAGCATCCCAAGGATGAAAAAGGAACTGGTGAAGAGGAAACAGAAAGAAATCGATAACCGTTACACAAAGAAGTCAGTTGAGCAGCGATTACACAACTTTTAAAGTACATTTAATTTTAGATGACAATTTTCGAAATCAAAACATACGTGTGGTCACGGAGACAAATTTCTAAATTTCCTGAAACTGTGCTCCAAATATAAACTCCACCATCATGTCCACCAGCAGCTACATAATCTGAGTCAGGTGAGAAGCATGGTCGAACTATATCTAAACCTGTTTGGAAACCATCAGCTTTCAAGCATTGTGTAACTTGATTCATACGTAAATCCACAATTTCTAAAGTGTTGTTACGTGTACAAGATAAAACAGTTGTGAAATCTAAAAATGCAAAAAATAGTTAAATGTAAAGTTCTTTTTCATCAATTAAAAACAAGAGAATATTTTTAACTGATAGCAGAGCACTTTTCTACTTTAGAGAATACACAAAAGTATTCAGTAAGGGTTTAAATCCCACTTTCAGAAGATAATTCATTTACTCATGTTAGTTTTTCATACATATTCAACGAAATGGATCAAAAAGATCCATTTAAACTATTAGTCTTTTAGTGATCTACTGGTCTCTTTCTATGATGTGCATCAGAAACTTAACAACAGTAGTACAGTAACATATTTCATGTATGCGTTTACATACATACACATACAGTATTACAAAGTTCAAAGGGTGAATGAATTGAAAATCTTGAATTTTCAGTTGTCAGAAAAGTAACAGCATTAATTTTTTATCATGTTTGTGACATAACTGTGGAGTTGAATTCGTCGAAGGTTGTTTGAGATCATGTTTTGAAATATTTTGATAAGCAGAAAATGATCCGTTTGTATTCATGTCAAGGATTTATTGAACCTTATATTTAATGTAAATATAATGACAAGTACTTCCAATAACCATTTTTAAGTTGATACCTAAATGAATGTAGTTATCATAATATAGTTTGAGATTACGAGCAAACGTTTGCAGGGAAGGGTTTATCATTATTCTCCACCTTCAATTCATCTATAATTAATATTCGTTAAATATAAATCTAGGATGTGAGTAGTATATAAAGAAATATTTAAATGAGACCTATTAATTTCATTCTTTAAAACATTAAAGTTTTGAAATCAAATCAGTCGAAAAATATTTTTTATCATTAAAAATACTAGTGTGAACGGTCGTCCAGTGCTTCCAGATTTTCCATGGTGGTTCAGCTTCAATTGACTCATGGATTCAATTAAATTAAATTACTGAAATCTCCACAAAACCCTCTACTCATGATAATCATTATGTGGTCATTAGTGACTGGCTTCATGAGGTATTTCCTGAAGTTCTAGTGAGAAGCCTTGAACAGCGGAGTTCAAACAGGTCTGTTGTCAGATAGTAACTCACTGGAGACAATGGTGGACGACGGCGCGATTTCGTGAATTGGTTGACGTTAAACATTAACACCGTTAGATGTCAGCCCAATGGTCTAGAAGTTAAGTGTTCACGCGCTAGACCGATAGGTCCTGGATTCGAGTCCCGCAGGCGGGATCGTGTATGCGCACTACTGAGGAGTCGTATAATGGGACGAAACGGCCATCAAGTGCTTTCACGTTTTCCATGGTGGTCTACCTTCAATCGACTCATGAATTCAACCATTAAAATAAGATTCAAGAAGAAAATATAAATTAGTGAGACAAAAATGTTTATGAAAAATTCAGAATCTCGGAATCTCGGGAAACGACAAAGAATGGATGCACCTGCACCATAGCAAATGATTTTGAGCCACGACATTTAAAGTCACTGATCATTGGTTACGATAATCACACGAAACACAACCACGTAGTCTACACCTGTTAACATCGCTCAGTCTATTAGTCAGTATCTTCATGGTTTGGACGTTCCTAGCTTCCTTTCAACCCACTCTTACACCAGCTATCCTTGCACGTCGAAGTAGTCGGTGGGTGATAAAGACCTAACAAGTGCCCTGACCATCTCAGTAAATAGATGGTCAAAACATCCCTAACCCTAACCTACAAATATTCTCTACTTTTGATGGCCATGTTTTACAGCCACAAAGTACCAATGGAGCAAACTATTGCGCAGTGTATTCGTCCTCTGGTGGGCAGGTGGACATCTCTCCGATGTAAGTCATAAAAAGCCAATTGAGCTTTCGTAAGACGCTCATCCATCAGTGCTGATTGGACTCAAAAAGAGAAGTGAAATTACAAGTCCGTCATTAGTTAAGAGTTATCTATTCTAAATGTCGAAACATGAATTATGAGAAAAATCCAAAGTTTAAAAGACAGAAAGTGAGTACAGTCGTTTTCCTGCTTCGCAGTGACCAAGTATATGCCGCATACATATATAAGATCAACTATTTCACTCCCTACCACTAATTCAAGCACCTACCCATACCAGTCCTGGAACAACACTTGCATTTAGAGAGAGAGAGAAAAAAAAAAGAGAGAATCGCATCCTAAACATGCTTGCATTACTGATTAGAGTGATCAGAAGACTGCATTTCGTCAGCGTCTTCACTAAACACAACTATGTCATCTGCATATTCTAAATCAACAAGTGAATCTCAAAGTGGAAGATTGATTTCTCAGAAATCAGGCAATCAAAGTATTGTCTCTAAAATGACGTCTACAACAAGGTTGGACAAAAATGGAAAAAGCAGATAGTCTTAACGAAAGCCACCCAAGGTTATCAATTCCGATGACAGTTGACCGTAAGTTCTGGACAGACCAGTAGTGTCTAACTAGGGAGCCTGTACAAGGTTGATGTCACTCGTTGGCATGCCTTTCAATGTCAGACACTAAAACAGAATATCACAACCAACGGAGTCGAACGCCCTCTTCAGGTCAAGGAATACAACTATAGCCGGAAGTCGAAAACAATGTTTATGTTACAGGACCAGAAAAAGGGTGAATATTTGGTCTATCTATCTACATCCAGTTCTGAAACTAGACTGCTCTTCATGAGACTTAGCTAAGTGTCGGAGTATTGCTGAAGCTAATATTTTAGACGCTATATTACTTGCATGACAAGATAATAATTTTAAACGGACTCGTGTTTTTTAATAACTCTATAAAAACCTACATTAGCGGATAACATTCATAAAATAGACACTTAGCGGTGTAGGATTTATAAAAGACAGGACTATAAACCCTTTATTTTTAATTGGTTTACATTAAGCTAGCCGTAGCGAGAATCATTGTTTAAATTAACAGCATGTCTGTTTTGGAATTCCCTCTTTTTTAAAACAGCCTGAAGCCGCTAAATGCTTGTCAACTGGAAGCTATGACCTGATGTGAGACTCTATAAAATCATATCTGAGTCTAGAATTGTTATTTTAATCATTAGTATTGTGATGCAAATTAGACAAAACGAATCTACTTATTACTTCACAGTTATAACTATATTACTTATGAGTAACGAACATTTATCCCCTTACTTATACTTTACTGACTTAATCAATGGTAAACTTTCTAATAGTTTGATAAATATTTTGTCTATTCAACCGCACTGAAAGAGCATTTTTCGTGCCCATATGAGTTGAGATTTTACTGTTCTTATTAAATGCATTACCTTGGATATGGAGTTGATACAAACTAACCATTATTCATAAGATATTTCGTCTAAATTCGGACGAATAGTTTCATTGTTAATGTAAGACATTAAAGTCGAAAAATATATTTGTGAAATCTCAGAGATTGAATTTTAAGCAAGTCCAACGTTTCTCTTGGCAATTTGGTTCAAGCTTGTTCAAGGAAATACAATCAAACCTCAAAATTTTGGACTATGAATAGGTACATGGTTCTCCGGCTAACTGTATATTAAACAGGCCATCCAATCAATTATATGACCCAACTCTATATATGTAGGTGAGACCACGAAAACTGAATGTGGAGATGAAGAAACACAAACTTTGCTTGAAGCACATTTCTAAATCCTCAGATGATATTTTAAAAAATCTCAAAAAAAAATCAGCGATAACATAACACTCAGTAGAGTTGGGCCATACAATTGGCTTCAGTGGCATAAAGATCCTAAAAATAAGTTTCAGGTCTTAAAAAGAGAGACTAACAGCTAAAGCCATACACATATGGGCAAATCCAAACAGTATTATTAAGATGGAATGTAATTAGTTGTCCCATGGCAACTAATGTTTAATAAGTAGACCTGAACTCTTTATTTAATTGAATTTACCACTCATTATCTGGACAACAACAATTACTTTCAACTGTTCTAATTAGTTGATTTATCTAAATATATGGTAAACAATTAACCTAAGTAGCATAACAGCACAAGCATTTATTCATTTGTTTTTATTTTGTTTTATTTATCTTCATTTTATGTATACTTTCAACTTTGTTAACATGATTGGATGACCTGTTTAATATACAGTTAACCGGAGAACCATGTACCTATTCATAGTCCAAAATTTTGAGGTTTGATTGTATTTCCTTGAACAAGCTTGAACCAAATTACCAAGAGAAACGTCGGACTTGCTTAAAATTCAATCTTTGAGATTTCACAAATATATTTTTCCTCCTTAATTTTTGACTGTTATTTGTTGGAGAATCATTTATTATTTATATACTTACATACATATTCTGAGAAGCCAAGACTTTTTGACTTTATTTGACCTTGTGTGAATTGTTTCGGCAAACATAAAACAGTGTGTTTGGTATTTCAGATACTTTTACTCAAGCTTCAGTGAATCCCTCTGAGTAGGCACTCTATCTGTTTATTTATCTGCCCTAGTACAACCGAGTGTGGGGAGAGTCAACTCTTCCTATCCGAATGCTCTCACATGGCCACACGTATACAGCCACTCCTAAGGAAGTCTCACTCACTGTTTTCTCGTGGAGGGGGTGTTGTTTACGAAATTCAGAGGACGAAAAAAGAATGTCCGTCGCTTTAACTGGGTTGGTGGACGCAGAGAGTCCACCTAGGGGAGTTGGAAACCCTGATTCCAGACAAATGGTGCCCATGGGCCCCAGTATTCTGAGTGAACAGATGGCATATGAACCAATTATTGGTCAGTGACTACCATGGGACTGCATCTACTGAAGCTGCCCCACTGCCTTGTGGGTCAGACCTTTAGATCGAAAGCTCCAGGTGTGGCCCCCTAGGAAAACCACCTGCGTCGGTCTGGAAATCCGGTCAGTATCACATCCCACACACAAATCAAGTGACTTGTGTTGCCCCTTTGTACCGATATTTATGTATTCAAATAAATAATATTTATTTGTCTACATATCGACTAAGAAAGAACGATTCATGAAGGTCTGTTCGGGAATATACGGGTATTAATCATCTATGTTTCTTTACAAAACGGGTTTAGCGTTTTGTGAAGTATATTATCCCCCCCACTCCACTATGCCAAACTTTGTGATAAGGCCGAGTACATAATGAATATGTTACGGTCACTGACTGCAAACGGAGATTCTCTTAATTAATATTTTGATAAGTTATTAAATTCAACGCCAGTTAGAATTTATCTATTTATTTATTTTAACACAGATAGTGGTACAAGCAGGCACCAAATACATATGCGCCACACAAATCTCATTTGATATGTATGAGGGCTGTGATACTACCTGGGTGCCCAAACCGAAGCAGGTGGTTTTCCTAGGGGGCCACACCCGCAGCCTTCGACCGGAAGGTCTGATCCATAAGGCAGTGGAGCATCATAAGGAGATGCAGTCTCATGGTAGCCGGTGACCAACGATTTGTTTATACGCCATTTGTTCATTCAGGATACTGGAGCCCATGGGCACCATTGCTTTGGAATCAGGGTTTTCCAACTTCCCTAGGTGGACTCTCCATGTCCGCCAACCCAGTTAAAGCGACGGACATTCTTTTTTCGTCCTCTGAATTTCGTAAACAACACCCTTGTCACGAGAAGGCAATGAGTAGGACTTCCCTGACAGAGGCTATATACGCGTGGCCATATGAGAGCATTTCGAGAGGGAGAGTGGCCTCTCCCCACTCTCGGCATTTGGAAGCACTAGTTAGAATTGACGATATTTCTATTAATTTTAACGGTTAAATCCATGGGTAAATCTAGGCTAGACCACCATTGAAAACCTGGAAGCACTGGATGACCGTTTCGTTCTAGTATGAAACTCTACAGCAGTGCATTTGTATTAGCTGAAACCTTCTATGAACTTACAAATCATCTAATTAAAAGCTCATCGAATGATGAAGAACTGTTATCCTCTAAGGTACATAAAGTAAATCTATTAGTAACATTTCTACTGATCGACATAACATAGTGATATACTGTAATGTGGACGTTTTCTGCAAATTATGGTTGATTGACCCAGGCTTTGGATTGATTATTACTCGTAAACCGAGTACATAATGTAATTTTAGGGACTTAAGGTTAATTTGTAGCTTCAGGAACGAGAAATCCAGGATAAAGATTAGTGTGAAAATTGACTCAGGGATAGATTATCTCTAACCCATAAAGTAATTCAAAATGGATGTTCGAAAATACGGTACTGAATTTTTGTACTTTATATCGCGTAAGCTCAAAAAAGTATACAGATTCGTGTAGAGTATAAATACATGATAAAAAATTACAGCTAGTTTAAGCTAAGTTGAGACAACTGCGTTTATTAAAGTCTTGATCGATTGTAAACTACAAAACATTATTTAAAAAGTCATCATTGAAAAAGTCAAACACTCACCAGAGGAGATGTCCATACCAGTAATACGCCCGGAGAGCAAGATTTTGCCAGTATTTTCCCCAGATCGTTCATCCCAAATGCGTAAATGCTGATCGAAATGGCCAGTAACAAGCGCAGACATGGAGGGACAAACAACTACATCTTGGAATGTGGAGGCAGCCATGATGGTACGCCTACAACAGCACTTGTCAACGTCCCAAATCTGATATTACCCAAAGTAAAATCAATTGATTACAGAAGGAAATTCAATCATTATTACATAAAACGAAGTATAAGCTGCACAACCTTTTAGATTAGGGTAATGAGTAGTTGAGCATGCTTTTAAGTGTTATATTATAAAAATCTATGTGGTATAGAATGTACATTTGAACAAAATACCATTTTAATAATCCTGTCTTGACAATGTATTCTTGGCAAATTTCAAAATACAGCTGATGTCATTTTAGTGAGTTCAAAGAAAATCTTGTTTTAACCTAGTTCAGAAACTGGGAATGTCTCGTACGATTTTTATTAAACGATTTTGCTCAAACGCTTCAACCTACGGTCACTGTTATGTGGATCCATCATCATATAGTTCTACACATACAGGATGATGTCTAATAAACAGAGAATTTATGTCATTAATGCATCTTAACCTGTTTAGGTTCATAAAACAAAATCATCCATAAAATAAGAATTCTAGCAAGTATTCAACACCTAATATTAAAATTATTTTTTAAAAGAGTGGTTGCAGTGATAACACTAAACACTGTAAATCACCTTGATCGTTCTGTCTGATGAAGCAGTGACAACGCGGTTAGCAGACCTCATAAATTTAGCAGAGATAACACGCTCAGAATGTCCTGTCAAATTGACTCGAAGTCTGGAATCATTTAGTGTCCATACACGACACGAAAAATCACTTGAGGCACCTAAAACAGCAGTTTCCTAAAATAAATCAGGAAAAAGTGTAAGTGACAAAACACAAAGTGGGTTAGTACGATGAAAGAAAGAAAACAAAAATATTTAACATTCTTCGGCTGCGAACTTATACTAGGTAACGCAGTGTCGCGCAAAATTAATAATACTTAAAAGGCATAACTAGACTAAAGAAAAGAAGTGCTTCAACATGAATAGATATAAATTAGGATCATTAACAATCTGCGATAGTTTGGTAAGAAGAGTAAAGTTTTACTTAAATAGAGTGGGATGAATGAAGAATCGTGAAACCACGAGTTCAGACCAATAACGCTCAAAAGATTCATGCAGAAAAGAATTTACACCAGCGAAATCAATTTTAAGAGATTTCGACTGGTAAGTCATACTGTTGCGCAAAGCCAAATCATGTACTGTCATGCCCCCTATGGTCTACACTAACAATCGACGGTCACTGTAGGGTTTTGTGGATATTTTAAAATTTGAAGTTACAGGTAACGAACTGGTTACTGCGTCACATGATTTAAAGATCAGGCCCTCATCGAGAATGTTGTAAGTCCTGTCTTTGAGTCTCGGTAGAGTTTTGGATGTAAATCGGTGAAGAGCCCTAGACCAGGACGAAACACCTGTCTAATGCTTTCAGTTTTATATTAATTGTCTGACCAAAGTCAGTCTGTGATCCAAAACTTCAAAGTCGCTGGTTTGTTGGACTATCGCTAAGTATTTGCAAGAACACTGATTTCTTTCTGAGGACTGCTCTAATGAAAAACATACCTCGATGTAGCCAGTAGCTCCGGATGGACGATAACATAATATTGACATGCGCAAACTACAATAGCCAGAACTTAAAAGATAAAAACCGATGAACAAAAAGACAGGCAGCAAACGGTAAGACGGATGTAAACTTATTGAGTAGTGTGAAACATTTTACAGCCATTATTTTGCAAATTGAGTACTTGTTGCTGAGCAAGAAAGAAACCTCTGACGAACAGATCTACACCACTTGGCGACGATTTATCAAATGTAGAAAAAACAAAATTAACTGACGTTGAGCGAGAACGGACGTTTTAATCTGTCAAATGGGGAATGTTTTGTGTTCGAGTTCAAACGTAATGTCAAACATATCATTGTGTGTAAATTTAGAGATTAGGTTTTCTTTAGCATTGCTTAAATACGGTGAATATGCCGCACGGAGATTCAGCGGGTGTTGTGATGATTGATACTTTGTAACGTGAATATTCAGTTACTACTAACCCCATGATTTACTTTACCGATGTCACATTTTGTCTCGTTTTTTGTGTTGACTTTATTTCGCATAGTTAGCTGCTATTTTTGTTTTTCTTTCATAATCCGTCTTATGAGGTATAAATTAGAATATTTTATTTATTTGAACACAAACATTGGTACAAAGGAGTACCAGAATACATATACGTCATACAAGTCACTTGATTTGTGTGTGGGCTGTGATACTGTCCGGGTGCCCAGACCGAAGCACGACATACTAAAACAGCGTGAAATGACAAAAATTATTAGGCTTTGAGGTGTTCTCGTGTTCATTCGTCAGACCCATGTAAGCAGAATAAACTGAGACTTAAGCGAATTAGAAAATCAGGTGAATAGATCCATTATTAATAAAACACTGAACGTATTTGACGACGCGATGGTGGTTGGTCTACAATGATTATATGGCACATAATAATCTAAAGTATTTACACGGCCCACAGATTTCGATGCATAAAACATGACCGAGACTATTTTTGAATGCCCGATTTAATGAAACTAGAAATAAATTCCTCTGGAAATGCGTTTGATGTATACATAAAACTTACTCAAAAAAACATCCCAGTTACATTGGGAAACTCACATTTGGGTCAAAATCTATGGCAGTGACAGCAGCATTACAACCAACAAGGGTTGAATGGATTTCACATTTTCCTAGTTTCAAAAAATAAGCAATTGCAAAAGTATGAAAACATTTGCACAATAAAATATTCTACTATAAATTATACGAATGGTACGACTTTACAAATTTTATACCACATGTGATACGAAATTCACTCAAGAACAAAGTAAATGCAGAGTATACAACAACGCCTCTGATTCAAGAAGGTTTCATTTTGACATTGTAAAAATTTTACGCTGGACAATTAAAAAATGTATACCATTTAGATATGTCCATAATCGGAGTTTACGATCAAATCCTGCTGATCCGAAAATGTGGCCTGATGGAGTGAACCGAACACTATTTACTTCATTTTCATTAGCATCCTAGAAGCGACAATCACAAGAATGTCTATAGAGAACTTACTATTTTGACTGCAACGTTACGCGGAAGTGCAGATTTACAGGGTAGTGGTTTGTCCGAACAATCACTGAAAAGTTACAAGAAACAACAGAATTAAACCTATCAGTAACGAATATAGTCGAATTGACTGCATCTTGAAGATTCTTGCGGATTGTTTCTTGAGTTTTTCTACGAAATGTTTAATATTTTAGACTTACCTATACTGCACATCATACTCTATATTTTTCAACCTTTCGACAGTGGACTGGAGGGCTTTTATTCGTTTCATAAGTTGCAGATTATCATCCTCAAGTTGCCTGTTTTTTGTTTCTAGTGCCTTCGCGGTCATTAAGTGTGAGGCCTGTTCATCTGTAAGCAACTGAGAACACACGTTGCATAACACCAATACAACACACTTCTTTAGTTTCCTCTAGTCCCTTAACCTTTTCCATCAAGTGATGATTCTGCACTTGATTAGCCTTAAGGCAGTCCTCTAACTCCGAAATCCTAAACAGCTCGCTTATATAACTGTAAAACCAACTTCAAGGACTTTGATTGGAGCAAGGTGTCTTTCTCCTGAAGAACTCTGTTTAAATCAATAACATTTTGCGCGAGCTAGCAGTTTTGAAAACAGACTTTTGAACTTACGTTCCCTTTCTGTCGATGCAATTCGGTAACCTCTTCTTGCAAATGAAACACCTTCTGCTCATAGTCATAGGATTTGACAGACTTTCTAAGGAAAATCTTAATATCAAGGGAAAGAAGGATACATCTTTTCAAGTTCTAGCTGTATTGAGGATTTCTCTTGTTGGCATAGTGTTAATTCACGTACAAGACGAGTGTTTTCCCCCTTGAGGTATAACACAATGTCCTTATTTGAGTCGTCTGAAATTGTAAATAAATGCGAATTTAAACAAACATTGTGTAAAAATTTCAGTAAAAAATGACTTCTCAATAATATCACGTTCAAGCAGGGATGTAAGTATAGCATCTTTCCATGAAGGACCCTCCTTGTCCATTTAAACTGCCGCAAGGCCACACGTTTGCATTAGGCGCTCCGAAATATCCAATGCCTCTGAGATTTCGCAAGATAAACCAAAGGAATTTCTTCAAAGCTTATCTTGATGTGACAGGATGTATTCATATCTTGGTGTGTGTACAACAAGAGTAGTTCAGTTACTCGTCTCTAATTTCAAAAAGGGCAGTGAATTTTGTACTTCAAATGGTTCAAATGGTTCAAATGGTTGTGGACGGAATAGAAGAAGCTTTCGCTTAACAGGCTTCCGTGTCTAGTAGCAGGGGATCACGAAATCTTCTAGGCAGGAACATAGGTATGTTAACAATAAAAGAGGAAAAGAAATTGGTAAATCATAGTGTGATGCTGTCCTTGGTCCTTAAGAATAGGTCAAGTTGCCTCTTGAAGGACTCCTGAGAAGTCGCTTGGACTAGCTCGGCCGGCAGCGAATTCCAGCATTTGACAACTCTTAAGGAGTAGAAGTTGTGTCTACATTCCGTCTTGCTATGTTGTGTTTCCAGTTTCTGGGTGTTACCCCTTAGGCTATTGATCGAACTAAGCCTAAGTAGGTGTTTAAGAGGATGTCTAGAAGTGTTAATAATACTACAAGCCATTAATAAATCACCTCGAAGACGCCTATATTCTAGTGGGTAAAGGTCTAGTGAACGGAGGCGTTCTTCGTAAGGCGTAGATTTGAGTCCTCGAACTGATTTCGAGGCACGCCGTTGGATACGCTCCAAAGTGACCTTGTCCTTTTGGAGTGAGGGGGGGGAGTACTATGTTTCCGTACTCTAAATGGGGACGGATGAAACTATTGAAGATTGTATGGAAAGTTCTTCCGTCAAACTGGCCAAAAATGCGCCTCAACGTTACCAGTGTAAGGTTTGCTCGGAAGGCATTTTTGTTATGGTTAGCGTTAGACTTTAAATCGTAGGGCACCAGGACTCCTAAATATTTTTCGACTTGGGATACTACTAGAGAGGAGTTTCCTAAGTTGTAACTGTAGTTTGCAACATGTCGCAGATGGACTACTTTACACTTTGAAGTGTTAAAGGTAAGTCCGTTATCGTCTGCTCAACTTTGAAGTCTAGTCAGATCCTCCTGTAGTGCCTTCATATCGTCTTGGTTGCGTATCTCTCTCCAAAGTTCCACGTCATCCGCAAAAAGTAGTGTCTGACGTTACCTGTTAAGAAGATCATTTATGTAGATCAAGAAGAGAAGAGGCCCTAGTACTGAGCCCTGGGGGACCCCACTAGGACATTCCATAGCCTGAGATAACGTGAAATTAACCCTAACCTTAAAGTGTCGATTTTTTAGGTATGAAGTAAGCCAATCGATTAGAGGTGGCTTGATACCCAGTCGTTTGAGCTTGTTGATAAGACACAAATGGTTAACCCTATAAAAAGCTTTTGAGAAATCAAGGTAAATGACATCAACCTTTCCCTTGCAATCGAGGATGCTTGTCCATCTGTCCACCGCAGTCAGCAGGTTGGTTGTACAAGAGTAACCCTTCCTGAAACCATGCTGTTGGGGTGAGAAGAAATTTAAGGACAGTAGATAGTCGTTTAAACCGTCGCATATCATGGACTCCATGAGTTTTGAAGGTAATGACAGAAGAGCCACCGGCCGATAACTTGAAGGTTCATTGCGTCGACCACCTTTGAAAATTGGTGTGATGTGAGCCAACTTCCAATTTTCCGGTAATTTGCCTCGGCTAAGCGAGTGTGAGAACATCACGCTGAGCGGCGTTACCAGGATTGAGACTGCCTCCCTCAGTATGGCAGAATGGACTATATCCGGGCCAGGAGAAGTGTCAAGTCTTAAGTGCTGCAATTTCCGGAACACCAAGTCAGCGCTTAGGTCTAATCCGGAAAGTCCTGTGGAATTGCAGATGAAACTGTCGTCAATAAAGTTGATGTCGGCCGGTTGAAATGTTTGAGAGTAATGTGCCGCCAGAAGGTTAGCGGCGTTGTGATTTTACTTGCTTTTGGTACTCGTTGCACTAAAAAGCATTCTTGGTCTACTTTAACTAAGAGTTCTTTGGTTAAAGTTTGATATTTTTTGCTACATTTTGTCCAGAGTACCTGTTTTTAGTCCTTGACTAACACTTGTGTTCACATTGTTATCATTTTTTGTTTTTAAACCTTTTAAATCGAATTACAATGGTTGGTAAGACTCACAAATGTGGGCAACCAAATTGTTTGTTCTCCGTTGAGGAGGGAATGCAGTGTGACGACTGTAAAAAGTGGTATCACAAAATGTGTACACGACTAATTCCGACGGCTTACAAAAGATGCTCGAAGCCTAACTCGCACTGGCTTTGTGTGTTCTGCTGTACGGATAAAAAGGTACTAATACAGGAGGCTATGGGCCTCTTGGCTTTGGCCTGCAAGAAAAACGATGGCGGAAGCACTGATAACAGGAGCACCGACGATGAAGAATGTGTCAGTGTAGTAAGTGCTGCTACTGGACCCATTAAACACCTGACTGCGGTTGACGGGAACGTGAAATCTCCGTTGACATTAACGAGAAATGAAGTGTCGCCTGATATTGACATCGGCAGTCATACACCTCTAGTCGAAGTAGAAGATCCGGATAAAACTGTCACCGTTCCACATAGTCCAGGTGTGGCTGTTCTGAGTGGTGACAAATGGACTTCGGTAAGAAGGAAAAAAATAAGAGGAAAAATGCTGTAGGCAAAACGCAGCTGGTCAGCAAGACATTGGAAGGGACTTTATCAGAAGAAAAATCCTCACCGCGTGAAAAGACAGATCTCTCTGAGAGATCAGTCATTTTTCATAAGATAAGAGAGTCTTCAGACACTGAACCAAAGGCAAGATTTGAACATGATCTCAATCATATTAAGATATCATTAAGTAAACTACTCCCAGATACAGTTTCAGGAGTTAGTATTTGTAAGCTTCATGGAATAGGAAAAAAAGCGGATTCCGAAAGTCCTCAGAAAAACCGCCTCCTAAAGGTTACATTCAACACGGTGGAAGAAAGGAACCTGGTTCTAAGTAATTCACGTAAACTGATTGGATCCGGAATATATGTCCGTGAGGACCTCAGCCTAGCTGATCGTATTAAGAGAAGAGCTGCAGAAGCGGAAATAAACGAGCGTCGCCGAAACGGTGAAAGAAACCTCGTTCTTAAGGGTTTTCAGATTGTAAAAGTTCGGAGCAAAACGATCCCCAAGCCACTCTGGGTGGCAAGGGAAAGCTCTCCACAGACTTAAAGGTATGCTACACAAATGCTCGCAGCCTACTAAATAAAATGGCGGAGCTCAAGTCAGTGATGGATAAAGAAAAACCGGACGTTATCGCTGTCTCGGAAACTTGGTTAACGTCAGAAGTATTAGATAGTGAAATTCAGTTGACTGGTTTCATAACCAGTAGGGCTGATAGATTAAACCGAAGGGGAGGCGGGGTTATTGTGTACACGAAAAGTACCCTAACCATAAGATTAGCTGAGACAGTAGCACATGTTTCAGGGACATGTGAACTGGTGAGATGTAAGTTGAAATGCTGAAGGCAAGATATTGAAGTAGTTGTAGTTTATCGCAGTCAAGAATGTGTAGCAGATGATTTTCTCCTTAGTAAACTTAAGTCCTGGTGTAACAACGGTAAAAGCCTTGTAGTAGGCGACTTTAATGCACCATATATAAACCGGGTTAACTTAGAAGTAGAGTCATCTATATCGTCGTTCGACTCCAAACTGTTAGAAACCTCGATTGGACTAGCATTATTCCAACACATTAGAGATCCCACAAGATACGACTTAAGAAACTCTTCCTCTCTTTTAGATTTAGTCTTCACACACGGTGATGACGTTGGTCAAACGGCTTTTCTCCCACCACTTGGGAGAAGTGACCATGCAGTCATCTTATTCAAATCCATGGCTGAAATTGCTTCTCAAACAATTGCGCCGGCCCGTCCTAACATATGGAAGGCAGATATGCAGGCAATTAACTCCGCAGCATCGGCTGAGAACTGGGAAATTGACTCAAAGGCATCAGTACAAGAGGCATGGACTCTATTTAGACAGTTATACAATCGGGTAACTCAACCATACATACCCTGGACTGTCCCAAAGAAAAAGAAGCACGGACATCCCTGGATAGGGCGGGATATTCAACGCTTACTAAGACAAAAGAAGAAATGCTGGGATGTTGCCATCCGCCTTGGCACAGCAGGTACGATGGAACGCTACAGATCGATAAGAAACGAGTGTATAACTAAAATTCGGGAAGCGCAAAGAAAATATGAAATGCAGCTGGCACAATCTGCACTCAAGCAGCCCAAGAGGATATTCTCGTACATAAACTACAGAACAAGGATGCATCATTGGATTCCCAACCTAATTAAAGTAGGAAGTGAATCTGAAATGATAGAGGAAGATCAGGAAAAAGCTGAGGTTATGGCTGACTACTTTGTGGCAGTTTTCACCCAGGAACCCCCTCTACAGAAAGAACCAAACCCAATTACAGAGTCAACAAACCAGCTGCTCACCGTGGACTTCGACCAAAACGATGTGCTTAAGGCTCTTAGCACCCTAAACATGGAGAAGTCAACAGGACCAGATGAACTACACCCTAAAATCTTGAGACATATTGCCGAATATATCGCAGCCCCACTGACTGTGATATTCAAAATGTCACTTGACCAAGGTGTGTTACCTATGGACTGGAAGGACGCAATCGTCACTCCCATACATAAAACTGGTCTACGACAAGTTCCATCAAATTACAGACCCGTAAGCCTCACCAGTGTTGTAATTAAAATACTGGAAAGGATAATCAAACGGACCATAACAGCATTTATGGAAACCAATAACTTGCTGAACATGGCACAACATGGCTTTAGAAAGGGTCTATCCTGTACAACGAACCTCCTTATAGCTAGGGAGCTCTGGATTAATGCGCTAGACAACGGAAACTCAGTGGATGTTGTCTACAAAGACTTCAGTAAGGCTTTTGACAAGGTGCCAACTAATAGACTGCTA